TCACCCTCCGCGTCCCTGAACTCGTTGGACTCCTCCCCATGGATGTGTCCCCGGAGCTCGGGGAACTGCGGGGACACCGAGGGGACACCGGGGGGGGGCTCAGAGGGGGCTCGGGCGGTGCCAACCCCCCCTCGGCCACCCCCCCGGCCTGTCCCCACCTGTGTCCCCAGGTCGTGCTTGATGACCTCCTGGATCAGGACATCCGCCAGCGTCTTGAAGTCGTGCAGGAACCGAGCGTTCCTGTCGGGCCCCGTCTTCTCGGCCACGAGCAGCCGGAACAGCGGCTCCTCCGCCCGGCACAGCCGCGCCACCTCCGCCGCCTTCTGCGACACCGCCACCAGCGCGGCCAGCAGCCCCGCCATGGCCGCGACAGCGCGACAGACAGCGGGGACAGACAGCGGGGACAGACAGACAGCGGGGACAGCGGGGACAGCGGGGACAGACAGACAGCGGGGAGAGACAGACAGACAGCGGGGACAGCGGGGACAGACAGCGGGGACAGACAGCGGGGACAGCGGGGACAGCCAGACAGCGGGGACAGACAGACAGCGGGGACACCTGCGGGGACAGCGGCGGGGTCAGGGGCGCGCTCCCAAATGATCCCAAATGATCCCAAATGATCCCAAATGTGGAGGGGGATGTGGGGACAGTGGGACACTGGGGTGTGGGGACAAACTGACACGGGGACACGGGGACATGGGGACAGGGGGACAGGGGGACGCTGCGATGTGGGGATGTGGGGACATGGACGTTGGGCTTGTGGGGATTTGGGGACCCGCGGATGTGGGGCCATGTGCACAGGGTGACACGGGGACATGACAGTGGGGACAGGGGTGCCACGGGAACGCGGGCTGTGGGGACACGCGGGTTTGGGGACACGGGGGCGCGGGGGTGGCGGCGATGTGAACGTGGGCACAAGGGGGACACGGGGACACAAAGCGGCGGCCACACGGAAATGGCCACGGCGCGGTGGCTGTGGGGACACGGGGCTGTCCCCAGCGTGTCCCCGCGGGACAGAGCCACCCCCCCGCGGGGACAGGAAGCGGTCGGGCCGGGGGGGTCCCC